CAACACTGTAACCTGTGTACGTTGTTTTTTTACTTTAGTTTAGTTAGGACTAAACTTTACTGTACTTAATACTATTGATAAATAAACTTATAATGTTATTCTACGACCAAACGTCAAACCTTTTTTAAAAACTTTGATAAATTTTTAATATTCTGTTATACAAAATGGTTAGTAAAGTATATTTACATTCTCCTTTTGTTGTTACTTCTTATTTCATACAGCAATTGTAGCGATTTGATCACTGAGCTTTACAGCTCTCTGCCGCAGGCAGACTGTTCGTCGTCGAGTGAATAATGCGCAGGCGCAGTTTTTCTTGGGGAAACATTCTAACTGCGCATGCTTATGCAGCAGGTTCTCGATCAGAAAGCGTAATGGTCGTACATACAAACAAGCAAAATAATAGTATAGATACTGTAAGAGAAAAGCTGTTAGAGAAAATAGGTACTAATAAATCATTACAGGAGTTGTTTTGTAATAGAAATGTCTAGAAAAAGCTGTTAAAAACAAAAACTAGGTTTTAGTGGGAATTCATTCATCAATATTATAGTATAGTTTCGTCAAATGATCAACGTCGAATCTATATTGCTGTTTGTAGTTGTCAGTGCTAAACGTAGAATTTATTAACTCTGTTGAATCCCTTTATAGAGTACTTTTACTCTTGAATCCCTTCATAGAGTATTTTTACTGTTGAATACATTTAAAGAGTATTTTTACTGTTGAATCCCTTTATAAAGTATTTTTATTGTTGAATCCATTTATAGAGTATTTTTATTGTTGAATCCCTTTATAGAGTATTTTATTGTTGGATTCATTTATAGAGTATATTAATTATTGAATCTCTTTATAGAGTATTTTATTGTTGAATCCATTTATAGAGTATTTCATTGTTGAATCCATTTATAGAGTATTTTTATTGTTGAATCCATTTATAGAGTATTTTTATTGTTGAATCCATTTATCGAGTATTTTTATTGTTGAATCCCTTTATAGAGTATTTTATTGTTGAATCCATTTATAGAGTATTTTTATTTGAGTTGAACACAAAAACGTATTAAACATTATTGTAATTGATCTATTTGA